CTGAGCCCACCCAGGGTTACAGTGTCTGAGAATGGAGCACAGGTGAGTGCATCTCGGAAAATCACCCCAGGTGATGGTTTTGATATTCTCTGACTTCCCTGAGAAGCTGGAGACACTTGCCCTATCAAGTATGGGACCGATGTGATCAGGGACATAACTACTGTGTGTAAGCACAGGAGTTTTTAGTCAAAGACACATTATCACCACACGAATGATGAGCAGCATCCAAGCCATGTTTGAGGGCAGGTGGGGGGGCATGCAGCACTAAACCTTTCTCATTTAGCAGGCATGTTATTTACTGTTTGGATTTTTAGTTAACTGTGAAGTAGCTCCAACATTGGGTAGATCAACTTGGATAAGAGGAAAGAAATGCATCTCTAGCTTAAATTACCTCTCCATTCTCACTGGTCTGACCAGGTTTACTGTGGGAATAGGTCAGTAAATATTAACAATCTGCAGTATGTGTGCTGACCTGGTTGTACCAGAGCAGAACTCTGAAGTCCCACCTTTCTTCTGCAGAAAATAGTACCGCCATAACCATTTTATTTGGGTAAGACAACAGATGTGATCAGAATCTTTTTTTTTTTAATATTTATTCATACAGAACTGGGGTACAGGCCAGAGGTACAGGGGGCAGTGAGAGGATTCACCAAAGACAGTGGGGAGCAGAACAGGCAGATCAATGAAGTACACTGCTGAGGGGAGCAGCGGGTGGGTCAGGAGAGGTCTGCCACGCCATGTGGTCACCTCTGGGGCAGGCAGGGATTGAACTCATGCGGAAGTGGCTTTGGCTTCTTAGTGCTGTGCTTTAAACCTGCTGCGCCACCAAGGAGGGCCGTGATCAGAATCTTAATGTAATTTTGCCAATTTGTTTTCTGTAAAAAGGTCTGGTTGTGGATTATGAAACTTCCAACCTTAACTGCTTGAAATGCTTCTTTTGCTTCACGTTTGCAAATTTTCATGACCCCAATAGTCCCAGTTCTGCATTTGTTCTATTGTTAAAGACCTAATGAACTGGGATCCTGGGACTCGTGTGGGAAAAGGCTTACTCCTGGTATACAGCCTTACTGGATGTACTCACACTCCCATGTGCCTTGAGAAAATGAACTAGAGGCTCAATAGGAAAACTTTGCTTCAGACCAGTTAAAAACATAAAATATAGCTACCGTAGGGCTTAATGGTACCGTGGGAGTTGCAACTTCTGCAGAGACACTTTTTTTGCATTTTCTTGAAATTGGCCCATAGCTACAGCCATATTGGACAGATGTTTTTAACTCTAAACGCAATACAGAATTACCTATCATCCCTTTGCTATGCAGATTAAATATTTTGCATAAGCATTCAAAAAAGCATGTTTATAGTTCGAACTTCTGATGTTTATTGTTTTCTACCACCAAATGTACCATCTACAGATGGAAAACTCAAGTCTTTGATGGGTGGTGAGGAATTACTCAAAAAATTCAGTTACACACCGACAGAGATATTACACATAATGTTGGGAAGGGCTAGATTAGAGTGTTATCAAAATATGTACAGGAGCAATCCTCATCAAGAAGTGTTTCAGGGATTTCAAACACTCAGTTTCAACAGCTGGGCTTATTTGCAAGATTTGGTCAATGGAAAATACTGCCACTTTTCTCCCCTTACGGTTCTTCACCCAGTCTAGTGCTCTGTGGGTGAAAGAGAGCAACGCAGTCTGTGGCTGCTCCTTATTACTCTCCAGCGAAGGCCAGGAAAAAAGGCAGGACAATTAAGCAGGATGGCAGTCCATGTTTATGCACTTAGCTTCACAGACCACCAAGAGAATCTTAGAGAAGTGGGTAAAGCCCATGGCAAGTGCAGAGCTGTTGTTTATATAATAGAATCTGCATTGCTCCAGATCATTCATTTTTGAAAGCCAATTGCTTCCTTGCAGTTTAAGGGTTGTAATATTGTTTTGAACAATTACAAAAATGTTTATAGAAAAAGAAAAAAGTACCTTGCAGAATTAGGGATGTCAGATCTTTTTTGGGGGTAGCTTGATTTTCCCCTAACTTGCACTTCCTTACCAAGAAAGTGTTTCAAAAATTTCTCTAATGCTTTATGTATTAAATAGGTTTAAAGCAACTTTTTAAAGATGTAGTCTAGTTTGGGGGAAAAGTCTCAAAACATTAAAACTTATCTTGGTCAAGACTAATCAAATACTAGGATAATAGAATGCATGAGTACACTACACATACATGCACATGTACATTTAGGGATCAACAATCAATTTTTCTCTGAAGATTTATTCATTTGTGTATTCCAGAACTAGGGTACAGGCTGGGGGGGGGAGTGAGCGGACCCACCAGACACATAATGGGGGCAGAACAAGTGGACCGACAGAAATACACTGCTGAGGGGGGCAGGGAGGGAAATAGATGTTTGCCATGCCACGTGGGTCAACTCCCTGGCCAAGGAACGAACTCGTGCTGCAGTGACCACAGATGGCTTCACAGTGGTGCGCTTTAATCCATTGTGCCACCAGGGGTGGCCCTAGCAATTTAGATTGAACACCACAATTTAATCTTCAATGATTCACAAGGGTGCTCTTAATCTTGCAAATTTTGACATCAAATCAGTTTTCTACTAATAAAGCCAGTTATAAAATGTAGCACAGTAATGTCCAAAGCAAAGAACTTCTTCTCTGACGGCCTTAGCTTATATAGAACTGAGTGTACTGGAGCCAGAACTCAAGGCGTCTGTAATATTTTTTGGATCTATTCTCATAGGAAGTGTAGCATGAAGAATCCTATTATAAACAACAGCCCACGTCCAAAATAAAAAGGTCCCAGAGATAGGCCCACATCTGCACGTACAGTACACACACGCCGCATGTCCAAGGAGAGGCCTCACTGAGACTGTCGGGACATGTGACCTCTCGCCTTTACCAGGCGCTGCCCTGTTGATGTCACATGAGCGCCTACTGCTAACCATCCCAACTGAACATAAAACTATTTTCTTGCAAAAACCTCACTCTTAATTTCATGAGAAAGCATAAAAAAGTGCAATGTACCAAAGCTTGACGTTATAAGCTAACCGATGAATGCCACTATTAACATACTATACCCATGCCACTTCCCACCATTTCATTGTGTGACATGAATGAGGTCAAAAACACTTTTGGGGGAAAATTTTTTTTATTTCTATTTATTCATTTATGCAAAGACAGTATCAGGAATAGGTAAAAGGAACATACTTCTAATTTTAAAATTAATTTTCCATTTCGAAAGGTTCAGGATTTTGTCTCTTCTACCTTACTTTTAAAATACTTCAGTCCAACAAAATAACAAAAAGTTTATTCCTTTAGTTTTCTTAAGGTCATACTGGGATAATTAAGAGTTAGATCTTTAGAATTTAGGTATCATTTATAGTAACTTGGAGAGTTAATCACAAAATGATACATGAAAGAATGCTCTAGCACACACATGCACACACACACACAAAGTACAGAGAAATTTTCAAAGGCTACATTTCAGGGCATTTTCAAATTTTGAGATATAAGAAAGCCCTTTTCCCCGGGAATGCTTAAGTTGAAAGACGAATTCTTTCACATTCAGAATCAAAATGATTGGGAATTAGAAAACAAAAAAGGGCACTAATGAATATGCCCAAGGTAACTGTATTAGGTTAGCTGTAAATGGAGTTTCCATGTTTTAGCAGAGGGACGAAAGAAAGATCAGAAAGCCACTTGACAGTCATCACAGCAGGTCAAATGATGCTAATGCAGATGAAAGTTTCCCTCAGAAAGGTTCTATCACTGCCACCTTTCCAAGGCTTAGCCCTCCAACTGCTGACACTACTACTAGACTCTGGGTCAGCGAAGAGGCCTGCGCTCCAGTCTGTCACGATGTGCAATTACAGTGTCTAACAAGGAGACTAACTAATCTAAAAATGGATTGTTCACTCTGACTCTTAAGTATATTTCTGGGGTATGCTAGTGAAACATTTTTGTGGCTTAGAAATTCCAAAGCTCTCCTGAATGTAGTTTACTTTTAAAAAGAAAATAGAGACTAAGGAAAAAAAAATCAATTCTATTTGCTCTATAACATGTAACTAGTATTTTCATGTTTTTATAAAAACAATTCCTTTCAGATACTCTGATTAACCTTTAAGTGACATTAAAAAAAGTTTCAGTATTTTTTGATACCAATATTTTGCACAATTTAAGATACAGCCATTAAGTTTAGTGTTTTAAGGAAAAAAATAGAAAGAAAAAAAAAGGAGGATAACTCACTGAGAAGTTTATGTACCTAGTAAGGTTTGGTTTGTCTTGGGTTCTTAAAAATAATTAGGCCCAGAAATTTAGTTATCCTAATTATCATCCAAATCAACTAGAGTAGCTATGTGTGGATTCTAGATAAAATATAAAATATTTTGAATAAACATAAGACCCACTGATTGGACTGCTTGTTTAGAATCTGTTTTACTGGGTTTAAAAATCTGTTTTACTGGGTTTACACAAGGACAGCTTCAATAAAGTATATACTGAGTTCCATTGATTAAAAATTCAGTTTTAAAAACTTTTTGTGGTGAATTTCTAGACAAATCATAAGTGTTAGGTGTATTGTAAATATAGTACTGTTCACAGGTACATGCTGGAGAAGTGAAATGCTTGCATATTCAAACTACCAAAATTCCGACCTTTCAAAATAGTATGTTTTCTAAAACAATTTGACTTTTAAACTCTTAAAAGTGTCAATTTCAATTTAAAAAATATTACAGATAATGTTAAAGTTACTTCTTTCAATAGCAATTATTTTTACTGTCAACTACATATTTAACACAGAACCAATATCTAACTAAACATCTAATGTAAAACAGTTTTAATGCAATGTAAAACTACACAATCTAATAGAACTTGTAAAGAAAGTCTGCTTTATCAAAATTTAGAATTAAGTTTCTATAGTAGTCAAAAACTTCAGCCTCTTCTTAACACTAAAAACCAGCAACAACCATGAGACTGAAGTTAGCAGAGAGGATCAAACAGATTTAAGCACTGCCCGACTTCTTCTAAAGTGATGCACTCTTTTATCCTAGAAAAGGAAAGAAACAGTTCTTTTATACTTCATTGTTATTTTCCTATTAGCACTATGACCTAAGCATTGCACAATAATTAAAAAATATAAAATATGAGAAAAGGTGAATTTTGGGATACAAATGTATCAATGACTAGTTTTGATCACCAACAATTTAAGTTAAAAAAGAAATCTTAAGTTAAAAAGGAAATCTCAGCAAAACTTAGAAAGAGGTATTAGAATCGGTATCATTTTATGTAGATTTTTAATTAATGATTTGGCAATGACGTTCCTGAGACAGCTTGTGGAAAATGTATGTAATTTTTAAATGTACTGTTTTTACTTTAGTGGCATCTGGTAGAAATCACAGCTTAAGCACAGCACTCCGGTCTGAAATCCTACGGTTCTAGGTGAAAAGAGATTAAGTTTTGACATACTAACAGCACATCTTTATCTGTGATGAAGAGATGTCATACTTTAGGAATTAAAAGAAAAAAGTTAAATATATGCCAGATGTCCCTTTCCCTTCGTTACCTGCAGATGTGCAGATAGAAGGAACAAGGAATAGAAGTGCAGAGTTGAACAAATTAGTAAAAACAGAATAGTACTTTTTCTACATTGTTAAATTGTGCCTTTTTCTATGGATTAAGCAACTGTCATATAAAGGATGACTTCTGGAAATTTACGACCTATCAAAAGAGAAATATTCCACTAGCTTTAGACCCTGAAAAGCAGTCACAAACCCAAGTATTTTCAGCAGTCAGACAGGAAATGAAAGACACTGAAGGGACTGGAATTAAAATAACAGATTAGCATTTGCCATGAAAACAGTGTCTACTCCCTTGAAGCACTCATAGTCAATTAAAAGAACACTTAGCTAATCAATATAGGTCCATAGGGCAGACAACTGCAGACTAACCAAGTTCTGATTACTCGTTAGAGAACCAGAAAACTGAGGGATCCAGAGGGTGACTTGTCTAATACCAAGAAAAAGCTTAGCAATTTACAAATTACTGTGCTTTGCGAACAAAGTGTTAAGTATTGCCTATTTAACCTTATTTAAAAAGGCACTAAGTTTCATCCTCTGTCTATTCATAGTGTCTTTCCCCATTTTAAGGCATAAAAGCAATGGCTAAAAATTTCCCTTTTACTGGAAAATGGTACAAAAGTTATGGGAAAATTTGGGCAGCTCTTCAAAGGGTCAAACATAGTCACCATAGTAATTCCATTCCTAGATATATACTCAAGAGAAATAAAGGTTTATGTCCACACAGTAACTTGGACGTAGCATTATTTACAATAGTCAAAAAGTGTGAACTAACCAATGTCAATATGAAATGATGAATGAACAAAATAGCCATAAGCAAAAATAATGAAAGTGAAAAATATTGTTAATAATTATGAACCCTAAAACATTATGTAAATGAAAGAAACCAGTCACAAAAGATCCCATATGATATTATTCTATTGATATGATATATTTAGAGTAGGAAAATGCTTCAATAAAGTAGAAAAAGTGGTTTTACCTAGGGCTAGAGAAGTTGGAGGAAATTGGGAGTGCGTGCTAATGGCTAGAGGGATTATTTTAGGGATGATTAAAGTATTATAAAATTGACTATGGTCATGGTCATATAACTTACAAAGACACTAAAAACTACTGAACTGTACATTAAAAGGGTGAATTTGTATGGTGTATAAATTATATTTCAACAAGCCTGTTAAAAAGAAGCTTCCCTTTACCAAGCATAACTGCACCCCACCCTCACCCCATCTAGAGAAGTGATCTGTTCCTTCCCATCTTCAGATTCCAAACTAAATGGGTCTTAGAGGCCTTCCATCCTGTCTTCTCACTTTAGATTTAAATAAAAACTGGTGCTCAAGATTTAAGAAGTTTGTTCAAAGAAACAGAACTTTCTTAAATTTAAATACTCACACTCTCTTCCACTTTACCAACTTTGAACCAACTTCCTATTCTTTCTCGTCAGCCCTGGAACTGCTTCACACTGCCTCTTCTCCCACCATGTTGCAGAGGTATGTCATCTGAGTGATCAATTTCTTCTCTTCAGTCCTGTATCCTAGTACTCTTACATCCTGCTTTCAGGATTTAAAGTTTTCCCTTTGTCTATTTAGTCAAAACAGTGTTCTCTTCCAACTCTTTCATGAAAACTTTCCATTATAAGCTGCTAAAGATTTCTTAGGGCAGAACCAATGGCTCTATATCAATATTTGAACAGCATGAAGTATACTGCCAGGGAAACGCGTTCACACTGGTTTACTGGATTAGTCAAATAGTACTAAGGATTTAATTAAATATTCTATGTCATTTTAAAATATCTACACCCCAAGAAAAGATGCTTTAAATCTCAGAAACTGGCTTTTTATCCTGCTTTCTATTTCTTCCATACCTTGAAGTAGTCATCTTGATTAACAAGAGAGTTCCTCAGTCTGTTTTCCGGATTAAACAGACAAGATACCACCGTTTGAATGCTTCGGTCCACAGATTTCTGAAATACAAGAGTTTTCAGTAATCTAAAGACTATTCTTCCTTTTACTCACTATTAGTAAGCCCTTTTTCTTTTTGAAAGTTTAATGAATAAATACTATTTCTAAAAAATGTTTATGTAGTTCTCACGACCTATCACTTATTATGTAAGTTTTCTGTCAAATTATGAATCTTTTTAGAACTTTCATGACAGAATATAGGTTTAAAAAGCTGAATTTATTAAAACTCTTAAGCTAATCATTTAAGGCTTTTTAACTTTTCCTGGTAGGAAAAAATATACAAGACAAAAACTGATAATTGTATTATAAGCTATTTAAAATTCTTTCAAGTTTTAAATCATGTATCAGAGGGAATTTTTTAAACACAAGCTCATTAAATCTCAACATTTTTCTTACTGAGAAAACACACTGACAAACTTCACACACTCCAGTGGGAATCTCTCAATGGTATGTATATTCCCAGCAAACCAAGTATTTCCACAATCTTCAATAATCAAAAAAAAAAGAGAGAGAGAATTCAAGAGCTAAAATACTGTAATTATTAGAATCTGCTCTAAAAATAAAAAATAAAGTCTTATATTACAATTTCAGTTATTCCTAGTGACACCCTACTTTTAGAGTTGCTAACATATGTTAAGAAGAGAACACTATATATATAATTCATTGTGCATTGCTATTTAGCTAAGCAAATGTTTAAACTATTAAAAAACAAGAAGGTGTAGCATATTAACCCCTCTTTAAAGAGCTATTGTTTTTTTTGAGGAAACCTGCCCATTTCATTCTGCCAGATCATGGTAATAGAGTATTTATTAAAATATGATTAAAAAAGAGCAATGAAAACAGAGAAGGAAAGGACTCAGAAAATATCTGTATACTCTGACAGTGTGAAGGTACCTGAAACTTCCTTAGCTTTTATATCAAATGGTGAATTGTTAGTCAATTACTCAGGCGCTGTACTTAAATTTGAACAAAGACACTTAGTCCTCAAGTGTCATTATTAAAATGAAAATATACAAAACTATAAATATTTAAAAAATTAGATGTTTGCCTTTTGTGGGCCATTTCCAGAGGATGGAGTAGCTTCATGAACTGAGCATTCATTTGGCAAAACTTCAGCTCCTGGGTCAACTTCATTACAGTGGTAGTTAACAGCTGTATAAGCCTTCATTTAAAATGATAAAAGTATAGTTTTAAAAAGATTTACATTAAATATACTTCTAAGAAATCTTCAAAATGGTGAGCTACTATTCAAAGTTTAAATATGGACTATATCCTAATTCAATTAAATTAATTCAGAAACATTAGGCAAGACTGTCTTTTAAAGGTCTACTAAGCTTTAATATAATCAGAAATTCAAAGGCTCAGAAAAAGAAACCTCAATATGTAGTAAGGAAATGGAAAGAATTTCCCAGTGCTTGAGAATTTTAACTTCTTTTATTATATCCTCCAATATTCAGTCCTGAGGGAAAAGAAAGTAGCAATAGCTCAGGTGTTTCAAGGATAGTACCCCCTCTTTTGTTTTATTCCTTTTCTAATATAACCCACAGTAGTATTAGTAAAACATTTCCTTGTTCCTCTTACACAGAATTTTTAATGGGTAGAAAACCAGAGGCAGAGTCAATACTAGTTCTAAATCCATGAAGTCAGAATTAGCATAGATATTAACACTATCTTTCTTAGATTATAGATTTTATGAACAAGTAACTGAGCATTTTTATACAGAACAGCCACAGCTTAAGAACACAGAAATCTGAAAAATGAAAAGCAATTTCTCCCATGGGAATACATAATTGGGTTGATGAGAAATTAACAAAACATATCTCAATCTAACAATGGCATTTAAAAATAATTCTAGCTATCCATGATATGGTGAAGGCCAAGAAATATGTAATAGTTAAGCCAGAGTCTCATTTTAAATAAAGACTAGGAGCTACAGGTGGCTAAATCACCTTACCGGAGGTATAACATAACTTCTTGGTTCCCCAGCAGGCCACTGTGGTGGCATCTTTAAATAAAAAAAATTTTTTAAAAATTATCGAAATATTCCCACACATTTTCACAAAGATAAGAAATACATAATGTTGAGGGAGCTGTCATGCTGGCTTCTTTAACATGTTATAACAATGGAATGGAAATGTTACAATTACTCTCATATACAAACCCCACCTTTTCTGTTTTCTAGAAAACTCAAACGTAGTACTTCTTTTAATTTATACCATAGAAAGGGTTATGAGTCTTAGTCATATCCAATGAGCAGAAATTCAGATATTAGAGGACTCTGATCCTCTTGCAGTAGCCGCCTAACATAGCAATTACCAATATACTGGAATTCAGTGCTTAAAATTGAGGAATCATTGCATTTCAACCAATCCTCCTAGAATAGTGTATAACAGTCATAATCTGGGTATTTCAGCTATTTGGTAGAAAAGAGAAAAGAAACCATGCTAAAATAAAGGGATCACCAAATCTTTTAAGATGGTACAGGGAAAAGTTCTTGCTAAGTGCTTTCTTGTCAAAGCATTCCCTTATTTCTAAGTGATACAGAAGTCTTAATTTTAGACTAATTTTAGTTTTATTCTTTATAGTTAGATATTCTTTTTTTTAACCCTGTGGGTTTTTTTTATAATAGTTTATTTTCACATCATTTTGAAAAGTTAGATATTCTTAACAAGTTTAAATGACAAGCTATTGGAGGACTTTAAGTAAATGCCTCAGTAATATTCCGCAATCAATCCTTTTGCTCCCTCTTAAATTACCTGATAATTATAAATAGGCAGTTGATATCCAGTGATAACTTGAACTGGTGAGCTTGGATAAGGAGGATATGCCTGAAAATAAAGTTTACAAAAAAAAAGGATTAACGAAGTAAATTCTTTATTTAAAAGGATTATTATTCTCGATATGAAAATAAAGAAACAGTTATTTTTCTAAAATACAATGCAGAATTTTCACAGGGTGAATGACTTCATCAAAAAAAAATAACCAAAAACCTCTCTATCAAATGTTAGCATGAGGTTTATATCTTAGTCAGCAAGTTGTATGAAGAGGCATCTGAAAATTGTTGCAAAGAAAGAATAGCCAGAAGAATTGTTAACCTTAGAGGAGAGTAAACAAGAAACACAAGGATAACTGCTGTCAAATATTTTAGGAATTATCAGGTGGAGGGATAAGGACATACGTTATGTTCTTTATGGATATAACAAAATCTCACCAACTATACAGAAGGATATTTTAGCTTAGAATAAGAATACACTAGAATGACACATTTCTAACAAAAGTAATAGACTTTCCATTACTCAAAGAAAATATAATTCACCAAGGATAAGATTAAGAACTGATTTACAGTTGTTTTTTTAAGTTGCTCCTCACCTATAATCTTTCTAACACTGTTAACAGCAACAAAAAATACAAGAAACTTACCTGGACATATTGAGTTATAGGATTCACCACAGTTGGAGGCTGCATGTAAGTTTCAGTGTTTGGATTATTCCAGACACTCTGAAACTGTGGTGGAGGAGGAGGATTAAACACCAGAGGACGCGGCTGCACATGATAAGCACCTTTTAAAAGAAAACAAATCCTATTTTTAGTTCTCTGGAAAACTGCGCATGTATCATCAAAAACAATTTCTTTTCTTACTTACATAAATTTTGTTTCCTGATTGCAGGGCCCAGTTTCAGCTTTTTACCATGGAAATTTATCTGTGACTGGAAGTAAAACAGTGACAAAGCTAGAATCAATCTCCAAGTCTTTGCTTCCAGTATTTGGTAAATACTCCAAAATTCATCCGCCTAGAGCTACTATGCTTACTACTCTAGCCAAGTGTCTAGACATATTGTAGAGTTTGATCAAAAACCTGTACACTGTGTTGAACCTTTTCTAGCTCTAGGTTATGAATCAAAAATAAACAAATTATACATAGCAAGTTCTGAACAATTACTTAGATAATATTTACAATACGCTTACTACACAAGTAGTATATACTGAAATACTACATCCAAAGACAAATGGATGTTTTTCATAAGATTACTTACTTCTACTATCTTCTGCACATCCACGTCATTATAAAATGAAACAAATCCATAGCTAGAAGGGCAAACAAATGAAGTATAAAATCACTACTGTTATAATAGCAGTATATGGTTTACAGTCTAGTATTCTGAGCTAACTGACAGAAGTGATGAAAAAGGATGAAAAATACACTAAGGTAAATGTTTATAAGATATACATGATAGATGCTCAATAAATATTACTGCTTTTTTACCCTTATCTATGTTAGAAAGGGTTAAAATTAAGACAATAATATTCATTAATACAAAATTCCTATATAATTCACATATCTGAAATAAATGAAGATGGGAAACTTACATATAAACACTAGAAAAATGATTAAATAAGAAATGGCAGCAAACTTACCCTCTACATGAAATTAACAAAGCACCAAATTTCATTGTAATATAAGTTTAATACCAGTTTTAGCCTCCTCTTCAATAGGTTACAGATGCTATTATATCAGATATTTTGATAAATTGTATTGTGTTTGACTCACCCTTTAGACACACCAGTTCGATCCGTGATTATCTTCACTTCTTTCACTGAACCATATCTAGCAAAGAAACTTCTAATTTCGGTTTCATCCATCTATGGCAAAGAATTTGACGTCAATTCAGTATCCAAAATTTTCAATTCAACTATAAAGAAAGCTTTGTAAGACACTAATCTTACCCAAGTATTCAGTAGTCCTAAACTACCTGTAGTTCTTTGTCAAAGGTATTTATAGTCCTGAGATGTTTAAAAAAAAAAAAAAAAACCAATTCCAAATATGCATGATGTAACCAAGTTAAAATACTGTGATTCATAAAATATTTTAAAATAGGAATGAAATATGAATACCATACCCTTACATCAATTCCACCAACAAAAACGGTATTTGGCATGATTTTGCCTTCTGGTAAAACATAGCCCTGGCTGGTCGCAGCAGAAGAGGACTGAGTGCTGGCCTCTCTGGAGACAGTCGAGTTTGGGGTCTCAGAATTCACAGCAGACTGTAATGTGGAAATCAGTGTCACCATCAGAAATACTAGTAAAAAACACATCTATGAAATACAATTGTAGCATGTAAAATACAAAATGTTTTCATATTAATTACTTTCGTTGTAAATTAGTTATCAATACAACTTAGATCAAGCTCAGGATTTAAAGAAATTAGAATAGGCCAGCATAAAATTTCAATGGAATTGTACATAGTACTTCCTTCAGCCAGGGTTGTTCATTGTTATTTCTTATGTACTCTGCAATACTATAAAACTGATTTTATTGTTTGTGAAAAATACTACATGAAGTACTAAAAAATATTTGTAAAGTTCAGACTTGTAAAAACTGAAGTTATTAAAAATCATTCTGTTGTATAAAAAGCAAATTTTCACATACTGAGTATGTTAACAGGAAACACGGTGAATCTTTAAATAAGATAACCCCCAAAAATTTACATCAAAACCAAACAGCATCACTTTAAACCAATTTGTTTTGTCTTTTTATTCAAAGAAATTCACACCGATTTTAGAAGTATAATAACTGCCTGTGATAGTATGCCTGCTACACTTTGGAAATGGATCATGAAACCACTATTGGCTTGTGTTAGCACAGCTTACGCAAAAACAAAACAAAACAAAAAAATCAAGTGGAGGTGGTGTTATAATTTTTCCTAATCCTAGGGTGTTCAAAACATCTTTAGAAAAAACATGTTTCTTCCTGAATAAAGCCAACTCAGTCCCACTGATAATTCTAATTTTCACAGTGGGCTCATAAATATAAATGATACCATCTTTATTTTCAGATAAAGAAACCCACACATGAAATTCATTTTTCTGGATTCCAGTCAGAATTCTGTCTTTAGTCTTCTCACAGTAGACTCTTAAGTATAACGTAAATTTTCCTGAAGCAGAATCTACAGGTAACATATGAGTCGGAATGGCAGTAAAAAATTTCATCAGGAGTTCACAGAAGTTCAAGTCCTTTACAAGGTTAATAGCCACTTACAGACCAGCTGCACACCTGTGGGAAAACCCGCTTTGAGAATGAAATGAGATAATGCCTGTGAACTAGTTTGAGAAGTATAAAAAGGTATGCTGATTGTAAGTTAGTGTCCTGTTCACTGACAATTTGAATTTATTTTCAAGTTTTTTTTTTAAGTTTCTTTCCCTGCCATACCACTTATTTTACAGATAACTTATTAACAACTAATTTGAACTGAAACTTCAAACATCCACTTATTGCCCATCCACTTATTTAAAATTCACTTAAGTGCCTACTGATTACAAGAGCTAAGTGGAAGAGGCTGTAAGCGAGATAAAGCTATTCCACCTCTGCTTTGAAGAACACAAAAACAAGGACTGAAGAAACCAATAAGCATAGCCATTTAATAGAAATTAATAATGAGAAAGTAGACATAACTACTGTCTCGTTAGATGTGAGAAGTTACTGAAAATTTTATATTTTAGAAACCCTAATACAGTATTATAAGAACTGACAAGGAAAACCTGAATCCTCATTCAATATACAAAATAAACTTGATTTTGGAAAGAGAAAAATAAGGTATTATAGGACTTTTTTTTTTTTTTTTTGAAAGATTTATTTGTACATAGGCTCAGCGGTGGCGAAAGACTTCACCAGAGACAGAGTGGGGAGCAGAACAGGCAGATTGACGAAGTACACTGCTGAGGGGAGCAGCCGGCGGGTCAGGAGAGGTCTGCCTCGCCAAGTGGTCACCTCCGGAGAAGGCGGGAATCGAACTCATGCGGAAGTGGTTGCAGCTTCTTAGTGCAATGCTTTAACCCACTGCGCCACCAGGGAGGGCCTATTATAGGAAGTTTTTAAGTTTCGGGGCGGTTACAAATGGGCTATCTGCTTTACTGGAATATTAAACGTCAAACTCATCAATCTCCTTGCTGGAGTCATTGCCTTAGTAAGGAAGGCACCATCATGTCCCAGCATTCAGCCAGCAGGTGGCACTAGAAGCTAACAAAGTAAGCAAAGTCCATTTTAACAGGAATGAACTGTGGAGATGTGTTTGCAAACTCCCTATTATGTGTACTACATTTAATATATACAACATTCACAGCCAATAGACAATCTTTGGTCACTTTTAAACTATGGTCACAAAAACTGCAAGTGAATGCTTAGGCTAATTTGGTGTTTCAAAGTACTAACCTTAACTAATAGAGAATACAGAAAATACACTGCATTAAATGTTAGCTGGTGGGTTTTGAAGTAATTAATTTTTGGATAGTAAGTAGGAATAAACTTGAAAGCCATCAAATATGTAATTTTCACCAGTATTATTTACACTAATATTTCCCTGTTAATATTTGGATAACCAAATGACAAAACTAAAAGTAGAAAAAAAAATGTTCCTAAAGCTCCTCAGATACCATGCTATTTGAGAACACTAGCTGTATCAGTTTCTATGTCCATAGGAAGCAAACTACATATATTGAGATCTACATATATTGACCAGGAAGAAAGTCTATCATTTGTAGTCATCAGTCATATCCAGAGAACAAATAGTAAAACTTAAAATGAAAAAAATAAAAAATAAAAGTTAGAAAACTTGGATGTAAGTGTAAGAATGGATTGTGGGGTAAGAGAGGAGGTTTCAAAACAAATCTGGCAAAGTTCAGCAAGAAAAAAGGCAAGAAAGCAAAACATGTGCCTTGATAAAAAGGCTGTGACCACAGGTTTTAATATGCTTTAATGGAATAAATTTGGAAATCTTGCTAAAATGCTTTTCTAAATAAATGCAAAATTTAAAAAACAGCCTCAGGCAGAGAAAGAACATGCAATTTCTCACTCATTTTCATTGGGAGATTTTTTAAGCTACATAAATGATAATTGGTTCTGGGGTGGGGGTCAGGACCAAGAGACAAAAAATGGAAGAGTGAGTTGAACAGAAAGAAAAATTCACTTTTCTTTAAAAAAAAAATCACAAGAGTATCTCTCAATACATTTGACATAATTAAAACTATCTTAAAAAAAAAAAAAAACTCCCTCTTTCAGATGTGCACAATTCTAGCAGTATAGGTTTCCTCCACCATTCCTATTTGGTATGATTCAGTGGGTTCCACTAAGAGTCTAGTAACACTGTTATCATTAATTTATAAGGAAAATATGTTCAACATTCCCAGATCACAGAATTAGCCTATTGAATCATATTAAACAGGATAGTGGGGGAAACCAATATATATAAATATACAATCTTATATAGTTTATACTGTACAGTTCCAGTTTATACTGAAAGTGCAAGGGTGGTTCATTTTTATGAAATGTTATTGTAATTTACCATTGAAAAAGCATTTGATAAAATACAATGTTTAGTTTTAATTAAAAAAAGTAAAGCACATATAGAACAATCTTAGTTTCTACTATTATCAGGCTTATTATATGAAATACTAGTTATTTCTGCTGAAATTAGCAGTAAGGGAATCATCACCATTGTAAATTTTTCCACTATATAGTTCAACAGAAGTATTAATGCAAATTCTTATAATATTAAGAAAAACAAATAGATATAGAAAAGTAGGTTAAGAACTTGTAAGGCAATTTAAAGAGCTTTATGACAATAAATTTCAACTTCACTAATGATAAAAGATCTTAACAACATAATGAAATCTTTTCTAGCTTTAGATTGGCAACTTCAAAAAGTTGTAATTTCCATCAGAAATAATACAGAGACACTATCACCCCACAGAACAACAGTGGGACTATATACTGTTACATGATTTGTCAAGAGTACATTGGAATGACATACCATAATTTAAATTATTGTAAAATGGGCATAACCCTTTTATCCAGTGATTCCCCTGATGGCAGTACATTTCAACAAATGAATAGAACAAGTATGCTAAATATGTGCACAAAGACAATCACCATAGAATTATTTTAACATAGAAAAATTATCAATAAGGAAATTTGGTAAAAGAAGTAAATGACACCCCCTCAAACTTTAACAGTCTATATTCAAAGTTATTGTAGTTATCTTTGGAATAATGCCCACTATATATTAAAGGAAGGATACAGCTGTAAAAGAGAAATGTCGTGGCACAACTTTTGTAAGATAAAATACATAACATAAAAGCAGTCTGGAAGCACATCTAACAAAACAATGGTTACAGGTGTTGGGCTAAAAATGGAACTCTATTTTCTGCATTGATTACTTTCAAATGAGTAAATATGCTACTTTGAGAAGGGAAAAAAATAACACAAAGCTTTTACCATTTCGCTTACTGCTAAAACTGGAGAGGAAAAATTACTGTAATTACTTACAGTAGCTCAAAGTGATCTTTAAATAATTATTACCATGCGTGGATAACTACATGACACAAATAATTACAAATAGTTATTTACAGACCATCGCTCCGTACTAACATAAATTTCCTCCATCTCTTCAAATGGAGACGCAAGTGATGGCACTATACAGAAGCGACACACAGTGTGTAAGACATCTGGGACTTGGTGGCTGGTCCAAGGGTTCATGCGACGGGCTCTCCACGTGACGAAACAACGCGAAGCATTTCTCAACTCACCTAAGCACGCACCCCAAAGACCCCCTATGACTGGGGGTTCATTTTATTTAAAGTTCTTGTTTTATCTAACCCATACAAAAAAAGGGGTTCATCGTTTCTCGCCGCCTCGCACCCGGAGGCTCAAAACCGAAAGTGACGCCAAGCCAGAGGGTGGCCAGGGTGCCATACTTGAGGCCGCCCCAGGGGGCGCCAGCGCACGGCCGGGGCGTCTTATCTGAGGCCGTCCCAGGGGGCGCCAAAGCGCGCTCAGCCCCGCCCACCCGCGCCTTCCAGCCACCTCAGCCCCGCAGCCCCCCTCATACCCGCCAGCCACAGCCCTACCCCACCCCTCCCCCATAGCCCCACCGCGCCTCCCCATCGCAAGGGAACCCCCTTCCTGAAGAAATTCAGGCCCCCCAGACGGCAGCGAGCCCCTGGGGAAGAGACCACGCGGCCTGACGCCATCTCCGCCATCTCACGGAGGCGAACTCACTGCCGCCTCTCCAAAGGGAAAAGCACCCCCGGGGTTGGGGCACCCCAAATCGAGAGATGAGGGGCTGAGCATACCAGCCCACCCGCTTCCTCCGAGTTGGAGGCGGCCGCAGAGGTGCGGCCGTGCGAAGGCCACAGACCCTGCACGTGGTCAGTCGGCGGCCGCAGTCCTCAGGCCAGACCCCTCCCCCACCCGGCCGCCCGCCCTCCCTGGTCAGCAGGCCGAGGGCCTGGTAGGCCGCGCCTGGTCGGCCGCCTCTGCCCCCCACTCAGTAGGCCGCAACCTGCGGCATCCCGGGCGGATGTCTGAGAATGGGGAAGCCAGGGTGCCCCCGCCTCTCCCGGTCCCCCCAAAGCCGCCTTTCGGCCATCATGGAGCGCGCCCACCCCGCTGGCGCCCCTCAGGCCTTCTCCTCAACTCACCATGATGGCGGCTGCTAGCAGTTCCTGCCGACGGGGCTCGAGGAGGAGCAGAAGCTGCGCTTGTGGCACCACTCTGGGGGGTGCTGGTGCCCAGGCCCGGCTCGGATGGGGCGAAATGAAAAAAGTCGGGTGAGTAAGAAAAGTCGAAAGGGGCAGTGGGCCGAGGAGGCCTGGGAGGTGGCTGACGAGGCTGAGGGGCGCAGGCAGACTGAGGCGTGGTCCGCGGGGCTCCCAGAGTTGGCTCCTGCGCAGGGTGCTGGGGCTCGTCGTAGCTGCCTCAGCCAATGGGTGACAGCGTCTCCCGCCCCCTGCCGGGGGGGTTTGGGGGGAACGACCGCGCCCTGGCCGGGGGGTGTGCAGGGGGTGCGCGCGGGCCGGCATCGGGCAGCCAGTGAGGTTCTGCCCTCAGAGAGACCCTCGGACGTACATGTCATCCCGAAATTGTCTTTGAAGCATACGTAAAATAAGTATGCATCCTGGAATACATATTAAAATAGAAATGTAATGTCCGGGCTCCAGTTTCAAAATGGCGTCTTGAGCGCACAGTGCTTGGCAAAATCGCTGTCCTGAAAACTCTTGAAATGCCTATAGAAATGGAAAATAGAAACATAACTAAGTAGAACAGGAAAGGAGATACCGAAAACTTCCAATTTTAGACGACTTTCTGTCAAGTTAGAGGTAGATGGTGTTGGATTAGAAGAACTAGCAGCTAGGGCAGTCAGCTTGGCATTCAGGCCGCTCATTTTCCAAAAGCCGTTTATTGAGGGGCTGCGATTGCCAGGCGCCACAGGTAGAGGAGTGAGAGAACACCTTTTCCTTCGGGGAGTTCAAGTTGTAAAAAGATAGCTTATATTTTAGTTCTTATAGGAAGAAACTAGACTTGCCTAGAGAATTCTAGAACATTCTCAGGCCAGAGAAATAAGACAGAGAAAGGGTGAGCTGAGGGGCAGTTGATGGTGCAAATCACATAATTTTGGGAACCAGTCCAGAACCTGTACCTACAGAGCTGGCTCTAGCGTTTATCCTCAAACTTGACTTTTGTATTAGTGAAAATCATTATCACATGTTACATATTTGTAAGCTGGCAAAATGGAGGACTTATATTACCTGAAAACTCTCACTATGATCATCTAGCATTGCTGGATAAAATATTATCTAAAGTAATGTTAACATGAATATTTTAAGTTTTTTTTATATGATAAAGCAAATACTGTTTTTAATAATGCAGTGAGATGTTGAACTGAGTTTTCTCTGGTCCTGGGTAATGAGGACTGGCATGTGGGGTAGCCAGGCATACTAATAATTAACCCTGGATTTTTTTTTAAAAAGCCCACATCCCTGGAACCAGGTCCCACACAAACCAGGACAGTTGGTCATTCTAGGTGTATTATGATGTTAGTCACTGTAACTTGAGACCTGGAAGTATAAAGGTCGGAATAAAGCAAGGGTTTCAGTAACTCAAGGTGGGAGCTGAAACTGAGCAACTACAGTAAGTCATTGTTCCAGAAAGACGTCATTCTCAGGAAAAGGGTAGACCAGGGAAAATGTGAAAACCCAGGAGACAAGCAGAGGAGGAAGCCTTTTTCATTCCTAAATGAAAAGAACAAAAATTATTTGATGAAATGAATCCCTAGACCTGCATTACACAGGAGTTCAGCGTACTTGTTGGAATTTCAAATCCTTAGTATTTGACTATCCCCTGCCTCCCCAAATAGATCTCAGGTAAGTAATTTATGGAATGCTTGGCTGAAGCAAACGTAATGCTATCCTGGAGCGATGCATCCATAAAAGCCTGGGAGGAATTCTCATAAAAAAAGGACCCTTTAAAAATAAACTC